CCAGTTCTTAACCATCGCGCCACTCGGCCCAACAAACAAGTTTTTATAGAAGAGACAAAAAGGGAAATTGCAGGAATAAATGAAATTTCTAGGCTGGCCATTTAGTAAGGAAAGCAAGAAAAGGGGGCCGTTGCTTATTTTTTTTGTGGAAAGAGTATATAAGAACTAAGTTCCCTCCATTTCTGTAGAAGGAGTCGCAGCAGAGAGAAAACTGGGTCCTTTCTGTTCCAGCTAGCGATGATTGCCGTCTGTCCCCCTTCACTGGAAAAGCCTCCAGTGTTTGTAGTCAGTGACTTGCCATCCCACCAGTTACCCTATTACTAAAGAAACAGACCAAATTCTTCCCACCACCTCCAGTGGTGACAGTCTCCCATCATGCCATTCGAGTTCTCCTAAGATCTGCCAGAAAGTGAAGCAGGGAAGCAATACCCCATCATCCTGCAGGTCAATTCTGACTGATCTTTTGATGCCAGAGATACCAGCATTTTACAGATAAACTTATTAGAGCTTAGACCACCACAGTCTATATGAACTGCTACACCAAGAGTTTCTCCAGGGAATTCTGAGGTGGTGGACCCAAGTGGGGAAGGGAAGAGGCAGAAGTCCCAAGACTCCCCAAGGAGTTTGGGACCCCAGAGTCTTGGGTGTCTCCAAGGTGGCACTCCAAGGTTTTTAATCTGGGCAGAAATTCCATCTTTGGCTGCAAAGTAAATAAGTGCCTATGTGCCAGAAATGGTGCCAAGCTCTAGGGGTAGGAAAGCAAATCAGAGGTTCATAGCAGAAACATAAACTATGAGAATAATGAATTGTCACAAATGGGTCTATAGAGTTTAAAGCAGGGAAATATCCGATAGTGTGTTAGAGCCAGCTTATACTGTCCTATGAGAGCAGATCCTTGGCATCTCCCAACTCAAAGTTCAGTAACATTTTAGTAGTTTGAAATCAGCCACGTGGGAGTATTTACACCATGGAAATTGGCAAATGCTACAAATTGTGGCTTCTTTTTTTTTTTTTTTGGTCCTAGAGAACAAGTTGCTAAACATTTACCAGCACACCACTGACTCTCTTCCTCAGGGTTGGAGTCATGAGGAAGTTGTGGCCTGCAACCCGAGCAGCAATCACAGAGCAGCAATCCTGTAAAGGGTGTCCCTTTAAAATGACCCAAGACTTTCGCCAGCAGAAGGCAGGATTAGATAAGGACTCAGGTTTGGCCATTTGTATAGGTTTGGTCTCCTGCTGAGCTCCTGCTCACTGATCTCTCTGGCCTGGGTGCCTCTTGTTCTCATGAGATGGCAGAGGTGTGAGGAAGGAGAATGAGGACAGGCATAGTGCCACAGCTCCTCATGCCACAGCTCCGTATGGTTCCAGTTACTGGGTAGGGGGTACACTATGTTGTGGGGAGCAACATGCTCACGGGTGTGATGGCTTCTACCAAAGCAGCAGGTGTTGGTGTGGCATAGGATTTGCTCTCTATCATGTGAAGAGAGGTTTCAGACAGGGGCTTCGAGCTTAGAGAGGTTCGAGACCACATTTAAGAAGAAAAGCCTCTGGAGCACCAGGTTGTCTGCAAGTGTTGCCAGATATTGACTGAACACTGTGTGTTTTCTACTCCCTCTGGGGCAGGCTGAGGAGGGAAAACATCTGGGGTCCCTAATCTGGGAGAATAATCCTTAAAGAGTGAGATGCCAAAATGTCCCACCACCTCTCTCAGGGACAGGAGGAAGAAGTGGGGAGAAAAATTCCAGAACTACTTGTTTTGGTAATAACTGAATACTGAGATAGTAGGCACCAAAGTGCAACTAAATACAGCACCACACCCACTCCTATGCTTAAAGAGCTTTGGGAGAGATGTGCCTATCTAGCCAGGGACATGTGCTGCAGACCCAGGAATGACAGTGTTAGCTGGAAGACACCTCAGAGATTCTCTGATCCATTGTACAGGTTGGGAAACTGAGGCTGGGTGAGGGGAAGGGGCTTTCTTAAGGTTACACAACCAGTGGGTGGCTGACCAGGAACTAGAACTCAGGTCCCCTGAATCTGAGCTTCCTACTTTCTCTACATCACCATACTGCCTCCTTCAGGTATCGAGGAAGCCAAAGGCTTGTCATGATAGCAAGAGATAAGGCATCTAGAAGGTTTGGAGGAGGTCATTCAGGAATGTCATTAGCAGACTGTTGTCTCTTCACAGCCAGATACTATCATTTATTTAAAACATCACCATGGCTGGAAGGTATAGGGCAGGAACTGACATTAGGCACCATTGGTTACGCCAGGTTCTTTTGGGACCTTGGCATCAGGTCTGTGACTGGTGAGATATTTGGTCTTTGCGGGGAAAAGGATTCCAGATTACCCAGAGGGTAGAGCAGCCAAAGGCTGTGTACAGGAGAGTCAGTGGTGAAAATTCTGGAAGGGAAATGAAGAGAATCAAGGCTCTGTTCCAGCTCAGCTACCCACATAGAATGTGGGGTGGTGCGTTCCCCTATGGCAGTGGCTTTTCTGTCATATTGTCAGACTTCTCCCCCAGCTCCAGGATGTGAAGGCTGAGATGGTCTCTCCAGGCCCCACTCAGCAGGGAGGACAAGGCTGGTGGGTCCTCCAGAGTCAAGTGGGGAAACATGAGTGTCTCACTCTTGAGAGGGAAGCGGCATTTCTCTGTGGCAGGTCTGGTGGTGCCAGGGGTCACCACAAAAAGGCGGCAGAGCCACGACCTAGTGGCCACCTGGCAGGCTGGTTGTCTGGTGAAATTGTTCAGGGCTTGACACAGGACCCGGTCTTCAGCCCCACTCATGTCCACCACCTCCACGTGTGACCCCAGGCCTGACAGGTGTAGGAGGTGCCGGGGGGGCATGTAGGTGTGGGTGAAGAGCAGTGTGTAGTGGGTAGGTACACTTGGAAGCACAGGTGTATGAACCACCCGCTCCAGGTGCTCCAGGCCAGGCACTAGCCCCCCCTGGTGCAGACAGCCGAAGAAGAAGGCCCCCAGGGCATTGAAGAGGACCAGGGTGCCTTTGCAGGGTACAGGTTGGGTCTGTGGACTACAAAGCAGGACAAGGGGGACCAGAAGAGGGATCAGGAACCGAGCCTCCTGGTGGCTAAAGGCAGACAGTAGGGCTAGGGGTATGAAGTAGAGGAGCAGGAGGTGCGGCCTGGGGCTGGACAGCAGGCTCCGGGCATCCAGCACCTTTGGGAAGCCCGTTTGTGCACAAGCCCGGAGGCAGGCTTGCAGCTGTTGCCACGCAGCCTGCAGGGCCTGGGCATGCAGTATCCCGAAGAGCAGGAAGCCATTGACTGCCAGGTGAGTGAGCCGCAGATGCGTGCCATGCCTCGCCAAGTTCTGAGGATCTAGGTTGTAGTGCAAGAAGTTGGCAGGTGTAAGGACAAGGGTACTGGATCTAGATGGACTGGAGAAATACCAGCTGTCCACAGTCACAAACACCACTGCTATGAGGGTTGCCCCTGGGAGCAGTCCCAGGGCTTCCTTGGTCAGTGACTTAAAGCCAGGGTTTGTGGCTCCACAAATCCCCCAGAGGAAGAGGGGGACCAGAGCAAAGGCCAGAAAGGTGGGCCGGTTGAAGAAGCCAGCAGCCACGATGCCCCCAAGAAGCCAGCTATGCCACCACGGGCCTGGAGCAGGCTTCTTGGGTGAGGGGCTCCAAGCTACACGATGGGATACCAGTGCCAGCAGCCATGCGAAGAGCAGTCCCTCGATGGCATTGGAGAAGGTCCTTGTGTAGAAGACCAAGGTAACATAGGAACCAGACAGCAGGACCAGGGCGTTCCAGCGCTCTGCCCCCCACAGTGGGGCCAGGTGGTACACAGCCACGTCCAGGGCAAAGGAGAGGGCAGTAAGGAGGAGCCGGGGTCCCACCAGCAGCACGTAGCCACTCACCAGGCCAGGCCATGGCCCCCACTCTTCCCAGAGCCTGAGCAGCCAGAAGGCAGAGCCAGAGGTCAGCAGTGGGAAGACCACTGTGCGGCAGGAACTGCTGGGTTGAAACTCCCAGGGCCGTGCGGCCTCCACGCCCAGGATGTCCTCTGTAGAAAGAGACGCAGAGGTGAGCCAGTTCCAAGCTCAGAGAATATGGTAGACAACATTCTAGGATAGCCCCCAAGATTTCCCAGGCCCTAACGTCCATGACCTGCATAATAATCCCTGGGACTGTGATGATGGATTTTACTCCTGTGATTAGGTTATGTGGCAGGAGACAGCTGACTGTAAAATAGGGAGATAACCCAGGTGGGCCTGACATAATCACACGAGCCCTTTAAAAGCAGAAAATTTTCTCCAGCTGGTGACCGAAGAGAACGTCAAAGATTCAGACCACGGGAAGGATTTGATGCACCATTGCTGGCTTAAACATGGAGGGGGCCATTGGCAAGGCATGTGGGTACTCTCTAGGAGGGAGAGCAACCCCTGACTCAAAGCCAACAAGGAAATAGGACTTTAGTTACACAGCTGCAATAAACCAAATTCATCCAACAAGAATGAACTTGGAAGCAGATTTTTCCCCAGAACCCCCAGACAAGAACTCAGCCCAGCCCTTACCTGGATTTCAACCTTGTGATGCTCTGAGCAGAGAACCTGTGCTGAACTTCTGATTTACAGAACTAACAGTTTTAAGCTACTAGGTTTGTGATGAGTTTTTAATGAAGCAGTAGAAATGAATATAGGGGAGTTCAGCCCTTCCGAGGCCCCACCTGTGAAGAGGGCAGGAAGAACCACGCCTGGGACAGGAGGTGAATTGTGCCCTGGACAGGCTGTATGGAGAGGAGCAGGGGGAGGCTCCGTTTCTTTCCTTGGAGCTTACAGTCTCCAGAGTCAGAGTCAAAAACCCATCTCTGTAATTATGATTGGTATTCCGGATAGTCAGTGTGAGAAGAGGGGAGAGAATGAGCAATTGTGGCTGTGGTCAAAAGTGACTTCAGTTTTATCGATGATACTTAGGGTTTTTTATAGGAAGTATAGATTCAAACAGTACTTATGTAATTAAAAAGTACTTGCTGCCTCGGGCTGGTCTGTGACCCTGTGCCCCATTGTCCCAGAGCTCTGAGCGGTCGTGGAGAGGGAAACAAATTCTTAACTTCTGCATCTCAGCTCCAAGCCCACATCTCATGCTTGATAACACTGCTGGTGGTTTAGGGCTCTTTGCTTCACCTACTTATTCCTCTAGCCTTTTGGCCATTTCCTCTCTCCAGGTCAGAAGGTGAAAGGGAAACAGAATCTAGAATCAGATCAATCTGGCTGCTTTTTACTGGCTTAAACTAAAAAAAAAAAAAAAAGTGTGGAAAAGAAGACTGGACTTTACTACTTATAAAACAGATGCACCTGTAGAGCCCTGTGCTAGAAAAAGCTGAATATCTCCCCAATATCCATTTCTTTTTCTTCCTTAGTTTCTTTAGCTGAGCATTTGATCAGGTATAAAGACTATGTTTTTCAGCTTCCTTTGCAGCTAGGTGTGGTCATGTGATACACTCTGACCAATGAGATGGAAATAGGCAAAAGGTAAGTGACTTTCAAAATATGCCCTTGAAGAGAGCAGGCATGCCTATTTCTTCTTCAGTGGCTGGAAGACTTGATGGCTGGAGCTCGAGCAGCCATCTTGAACCATGAGGAAGAAGCCATGTGCCCACAGCATCTGAAAAGCCTCAAGGTCTCTGGCAACCATCCTCACGATGTATCCTACACCACCTAGCAGGTAAGTTCTAACATGTGAGCATTCCAGGCCTGGGTTTCCTCAGCTCTCCTATAAACCTACAGAAGAAAATTTTTATTATCTCAGACCACAACCACTGGGGAAGTCCAGCTCTAAAACCTTCCCACTGAGAAGCACAAAACAGCTTTTGTTGCAAATAATTTGTACTGTTGGTCCAAGCAGGAAAACATAAAAAAAGACTGGCATTTCATTAGTATCATCCAGAAAGAAGGTCAATGTCACCACCCAGGAAGAAGAAGTGAAGTCCCCACTCCGAAGTTCTTATTCCAGAGAGCCTCATGGGTTTACTTCTCATCTGCACATATATGTTTCTTGCTCCTCACTAACTATATAATCAGCTCCAACCCAGACTTTGCTGCCATTTATCTTTAACCACACATGGGGCACTTTACCTGCCATGACCTCAGGTGACTGGAAGAACTCATCTGGGTGCACGTAGCCTGTCTGTGGAAGGAGACACCACACCAGGCGGAGCAGGCTGAGGCTACCCCACAACACCCTGGATGCCATCTTCAGATCAAATTGCTGCCAAGACACTGGGCCAGGAGCCTAAAATGACTTCTCAGCTGCTACAGATACTGTTCTGGATCCACAGATCTGCGCCTGCTGAGGATAACATTTGTTAATTATTATAACATAAATTATAATACAAACTCAAAATGGATCTATGTACAATTAAAATGATAATAGTGACCACTACTATTTATTAAGTGCCTGATAAGAGTCAGGAAATTTACATGCACAATCTGGAACAGTGGGTCTCATTATCTCTGTTTTACAGATGGGGAAACTGAGACCTCTGTTCAGTAACCTGGTTACTTGCCAATCATATTTGCTAAGAGTCTAACTATGACATTTGCTAAATATATATTTGCTGGTATGACATTTTGCTAAGTGACTAAATATGACATTTACAAGTAGGATTAGGGTACCCTCCAAATCTGGGTCTCACAGTCCCAATCCTGTTCACAGCTCCAAGCGTGGCAGCCTGTCTCTTGTACTTCTAAAAACTTGGGAACCTCGATGGATTGCATCCCTATCCCTGCAAAAATGAATACATTTGACCCCATTGTTTCCAGTCACTCCCTCCAACTTTCACACACCCTGGAACCCACCTTTTGGAAGGTGATGGGAACTTACTGCTAGAGTCTGAATGTTTGTGTCTCCCACCTCACATTCATGTGTTGAAATCCTAATGCCTGACATGATGGTATCAGGAGGTCAGGCCTTTTGGAGGTGCTTAGGTCATGAGGGAGGGTAGAGGCTTCAAAGTGCTCCCTTGCCCCTTCCACCATGTGAAGACACAGCGGGAAGGCCCTGGCTATGAACAAGGAAGAGAGACCTCACCATGCTGGCACCTTGATCTTGGACTTCCCAGCCTCCAGAACTGTGGGGAAATACATTTTTGTTGTTTAGAAGCCATTCAGCCCAAATGGACTGACACATCCGTTAACTCCATTGATAGAGATTTTCACTTCCTCAACTCAAAGATTAGCAGAATCTGAGCTCACTGCAGAATAGAAAAACAAGTTTGACGAGTTTGTCATTTCTCCAGAAATGCATATGGTGACCGTTTCCTGACTTCCTGACTTTGATATTTTAAAGTATGACCTTAAATAACTATTGTCCTCAGGTGGGATATCATTTCATAACAGAAAAGACAAGACAAAGTGAAGCAACAGGACAGAAATCTAGCAGATGTTGACAATGAGCCTCTTGATACTGTAGACTAAAAAAGGGGTGCTGTAATAACTCATAAATTCCTAACTGAGGAGGTCATAGTGGGTAGTCATGCCCCAGGCCTATGACTTCTTTAGTGAAAGGTTTTTAAGCAAGCCCTGTCCATTGTTTTTGTGCATCTAGGTTAACACACCTTTGACATGCCAGAAGGACTACCCCTCCAAGGTGTAACCACCCTCAGGAGAGCACATAACCTTGTTAACCATCCTTTAACCCAATCCCCGCCTTGCTTTTTCCCAACTTCATGTAATCTTTCCTTATGTTCCCTCTTTAATTTCAAATGCATAAAAGAAGCTGCAAAACTGTTAGTCTCTGTAGCATTTGAGATCTTGTTCCCTGACATATGTCATCAGTTTAGCTTAAATAAACTCTTATAAACATTTGTTACAGGTTTAGATGTTTCTTATGTCAACAGTACTCAGAATTCTCACTGAAAACTGCACCCTTTATCCCCTACCACAAGTTTGCAGTGTTAAATTTATGACAGAGACTTTAACCTGCACAGAAATTGGAAGGGCTACTTTCTGGTGGCATAGGTGGCATAGTTGGTTAGTGTGTGGTACTTACACAGCAGTATATATGCTTCATGCATGTGACTAGCTATGTCTGCATATACTGGATTGAAATCCTTTCTTTTTCCCCAAATAAATCCTTTTGGTGATGGGATACTTAACTGACTTTTATTTTACAGTTGACATCAGATATGTTGGTGGCTTGGGATTTGATCCCATCCTCAAACCCAGGTATAGACCCTGAATGGTTTAAGACAAATAACATTTCCCATCCCACTGGCCACACTAATTAGTTTAGGGTTGGGCACATGACAAGCTGGTTGGATCGAACTCAGAAAAGTATTGATAAAGGTGGGTCATGACCTGTCTCTCCTCTGCCAAGGCTCTGGACCCTCCTGGGGCTGGTGAGCAGGTCTTACACACTAACTCCACTCCAACAGTCCAATCTCATATTCCCAGGATTTCTATTGGTATAAATTGGGGAAATCCGGCAGTCCTTTGGGTGTATAGTATATACCTCCTTGTGGGTTACACTTTGTACCTCCCCTTTAGGGACCTGCTGGGAGTCTAGTTATAAGTCTAGAAGCAAAGGGGGGTGTGGAGGTGGGTCCTGAGGAGAATCAGCATTGTCTTGCAGGGGAACTGCCTTGTGGGAACTGCATCGCCATTTCCTGAGGCAATGCAGGGTAATCTCCTCAGACGGGAGTGGAAAGGCTGCTTCTACAGGTAAAAAAACTCATCAGAATTTAGGGACTCAGTGTCTCCAGCTCTGTCAGAGTCTACTCACATGTCCCCAGTCCAACTTTCAGGATCCTGTTCCTTCCCAGTCAATGCCCTCATTTTAACAGTAGACAACCTTTGAGACTGGAAATTCAATTTGCACTGTAATTTAGCCACTCACAGGATGAGATTCTGGGTTTGTTTTTCAGCAATTTCAGCCCGCAGGCAACAGGAGATAAGGGTCTCTTTCAGGGCAGACACAGAAGTTTCAGGTCATTTTATGAGGATTCTGAGCTGGGAATTTGAAACACTGAGCTTATCTTGTTCTTTTCCACTTTGTCCAGTACATTTAGGAACCATCAGCCAATCTCATTATACTCCTTAGCTTGACTGAAATGTTAAAAAATATCATATACATGGTCACCGAAACCTTGCCTGGAGTATTCAGTGCTATATTTTTCATATCTCTAATGCCACATCACTCCATGAATGACCAGTGCCCTCTTTACCACTTGAAATAAGGCCTTAGTGCCTTTAGATCTAATCAGACTAGAAAACCAATTCCAGAAAACCCAGAACCTATTTAAAAAACCCATCCTCAAAATTCTGTTCCTCTAGAACCACTTCCAGTACCAAAAGTGTCAGTTAGGGTCCTACCAGAGAAAGAGGTCCAGCAGGAATTTATGTTAATATTTATTGCAAGGAATTGGCTTATGCACTTGTGAGGGCTGGCGAGGCAAGTCTGAAATCTTGTAGGGCAGACCAGCAGGAAGGGCAGGCTGGAACTCTTCGGCAGAAGCAGAAGCTGCAGCCTAAGAGGGGAGCTTTCTGTTATTCAGGAAAGCCTTGGTTCTGCTCTGAAGACCTTTCAACTGACTGTATCAGAGCCACACAGATTTTTAAGAATAATCTGCTTTACTTAAAGTTGACTGATTATGGACTTTCATTGCAGCTGCAAAATACCTTCGCAGCAACGTTTAGATTGGTGTTTGAATAACTGGGGACTAACTATTACCTAGCCAAGTTGACCCACAAACCTGACTATCACACCTTAAGTACTTCAGTTTGTAATTGTGTTTGAATTTTAGATCAATGGGATAATTTTTTTTCCCTTTCTTTTTAAAAAGTTTTCTGTAGGGCCGGCCGAGTGGCACGATGGTTGGGAACTGGTTTGGGACGCCAGAGAGCCCCGGTTCGGATCCCACATATGAGGGCCAGTGACACTGCCCTCCACAGCTAAGATGCTGAACAACAGCTGGACCTGGAGCTGGGCTGCTGTGAGTCACCAGCGACAACGTAGGCTGCAGCACCTGTGGCAGTGGGTTGCCCTGGGCTACCGTATGTAGCCAGCAGCCAGCGTGAGTGGCCCGCAGCCGCAGTGGTGAGCGGCCGTCCAGAGGCCGGCGACTGATCTGCCTCACCCGGGAAGAGCGCAATGATGGTGCCAACTTGGGCCAGTGAAGCAATGTCCTCCACAACTAAACTGAAGAGCAAAACGACGGCAACTTGTCTGTTCCCCTTCCCCCAATTCCCCAGCACTGTTCCCATCCCCCAATTCCCCAATTAAAAAAAAATCTTAAAAAAAAAGTTTTCTGTAATTGTGTACAGCATAGTGATGAGATATTTATAAAACTTACAAAGTCATCACCTCGATAAGTCTAGTACTAATCTGACACCATACAGAGTTATTACAATACTATTGACCAAAATCCCAATGCTGTATTTTACACCCCCGTTACTGTTTTTGTAACTGGCAATTTGTACATGGATAATTCTTTTTTTTTTTTAAGATTTTTATTGGGGAATTGGGGGGATGGGAACAGTGCTGGGGAACTGGGGGAAGGGGAACAGACAAGTTGCTGTCATTTTTTTTTGTTCTTCAATCTAGTTGTGGAGGATGTTGCTTCACTGGCCCAAGTTGGCACCGTCATTGCGCTCTTTCCTGGCAAGGCACATCAGTCACAGGCTTCTGGACGGCCGCTCACTGCGGCTGCTGGCCGCTCACGCTGGCTGCTGGCTACACACGGTAGCCCATGGTAACCCACTGCCACAGGGACTGCAGCCTAGCCATCGCCGGCAACTCACGGCAGCCCAGCTCCAGGTCGAGCTGTTGTTCAGCATCTCAGCTGTTGAGGGCAGCGTCACTGGCCCTCATATGTGGGATCCGAACCAGGGCCCTCTGGCATCCCAAGCGAGTTCTTAACCATCGCGCCACTCGCCCGGCCCTTGATGTATTTATTTTTTATATTTTATTTTGTTTTCTTTTTTTCATGCCCTTTCTATCTTTTATTTCTGTCTTGCCTTATTCTGGATTGATTTCCCCCACACACACACCCCGATTCATTTTTCTCTCTCTAATAGTTTGGAAGTTATATACTCAATTTCCATTGTTATAAAATGCAGTATATTATTTTATATTTTAATACTTAATATGCTATGTTCTGTGGTTTAACTATGATGATTCTGTGTGTGAATTTCTTTTTATTATAGCTGAAAATTTTTTGAATTCATGACTCTGTGAATTAGGATCCTTTGTCATTTACAGAAGGTAATCCTCCATTATTTTTTCAAATATTGCCTCTTCCTTATTCTTTATTTACTTTTCCTCTAGGATTATGATTAAATGTATAATAGACCTTCTTGGTCTATCTTCCATGTCATTTTAACTTCTATTTTCCATTTTCCATATTATTGTCTCTCTAGGCTATATTTCAAATAAGATTTCTGTTCTATCATCCACGTCCCTAGTTATCATTTCAGCTGTATTTAATCAGCTGTTAAAGCTATCTATTGAGTTTTAAATTTCAATTTTATATTTTTTATTTCTAGGAGTTGATTTTTTTCATATCTGCTTGCTCTTTTGTCATATTTGTAGAGCTCCCTTTTATTTATTATAGTGTATTAAGCATACTTATTTGATATACTAGATCTGATAATTCCAACATCTAAAGTTGTTTTGGGTCTGAATCTGATGTCTTATTTTGGCTGGTTCTGATAGCGTCTTGCTTATTTGTATATTTAGTGAAGTATTTTATTTGGGGGCCGCTCCTTTTCGTTGGAACGTTACCTGTGAGAATTCTTTGAGGACAGGGATAAAGGCAAATTTTGAGTTTCGCTGAAACAGATTTACACTTGTTTCTGTCAGGTACCTGGGGGCATTAAAAGCCTGGTACTATTTTTGATCATATTATTGACTCCAACTTTTTTTTCCCCTTTGGTGGGAGTGGTGCTTAATCATGTGAATTCAGGTTGAAAACCTATATGAGGGCAAGCTCATGTATACTGATTCTCAAGTGAGACTGCCCACCGCCCCCAATTTGATTAACATCAGGATCCAAGAAAGGCAGTTTTCTTTGGGGATAGAAGAGTTTATTTCTAGGTCACTTTTATATTGAGAATGTTGCCCTACAGAGTCTCAGCTTTGAAGGGGTCTCCTCTTAGAGTTCAGGGTGGGCACTAGGTTTTATCTTCTGTCCTGTTAGTCCTGAGACTTTACAAAAACCAATGCTCAGATGCATCTGGTTCTTGAGTCCAAACCTGGATTCAGAGTTTTACATACCTCTCTAGCCCCTTGCTTTCATGCCTGAGTATTCCTCAGCTTTTGTTCAGCTCACATATTATTTTATCCAACATTTTAGTTATTTTCAGAAATTTATTTATTTTATAATTCAAGGACAACCCTCCAATTGTGTGCTTTTTAACAACCTTATTGATTTTTTTTTCTATTTAGAAAAGTAATACAAGATCGTTGAGGAAAAAGTAGGAAGTACAATAAGCAAAAACCGAGAAAATAGAAATTATACTCAATTCCTGTCACTCAGCAAAACACTATTAATATCTTGATATATGATTTTCTTGAAATTTTATGGAACATATAGGCTCTTAGTTCTGTTTATTCATTTACGTATAGTCATATATACAGTTGGCATAAGAAATAGCTATCTTGAGAGGTAAGATAGAGGTTGAGAAAAGCTAAACTAGTTTAAGCCATGTCAAGTTATTTTCAAGGAAGTTATGTACTTAAGAGTCTGCTTTGGTCAGTGAATCTTTGTGGTCATGCTTTTGGAGGAAACAGGAAACACAAGGAGGCTGTATCA